AAAAAAAAAAAACAAAAAATTACGATCATGGATTACAAAAAATTCTATCATAGGGTTAACAAAAAAAAAAAAAAAATTACGATCATGGATTACAAAAAAAAAAAAAACAATTCGATCGTGGATTACAAAAAAAGCGATCAAGTATTACAAAAAAATCTATCATAGATTACAAACAAACAAAAAAAAAAAAAAAAATTCTGTTCTTCCGTACGGGACTCGCGATTCACTGTACGGACTCGCCGATTCCGTACAGTGAATCGGCGAGTCATTGTGCAGAATAGTCCGGTTCTCTCTAGAACCGGACGATTCTCGTTTTTTCACCAATTCGAACCGTCCATGGCGATTACCGAGTTGAACCGGGCGAGTTCGATTCGACTCGACGTTTTTTTAAACACTGGACGCAACACATCGAAAACGATATTATCAGCTAGTTATAAAGAGAGAGATCATCACATATGGCGTTTAGAGAGAGGGAAAAAAAGGTTGAAAGAGAATACATAGATGACTGATGAGAAAGAGAATTTTTTTTTGTTATTTTAAAAATTAAAATTGGTTTGATTTCAGTTTTTTAAAAATAAAAAATAGATAGTTTTGTCTTTTTTTAAAAAATTATTATGCAGTCTAAATAACAAAAAATATTTGGTATTTTAGTAATAACGAAAACTAAAACGGATATTTATATAATTTTTTTAATTTTTAAATATAATTTGATCTTAATTTTAAGAGAATATATAATGGAAATCATTAATATGACAAATAAAATAAAAATTTAAAATAAAAAATAATAATTATATCAAGAAAACATTTGGACCATAAATAATGATCCTATAGGACCCTCCCCTAACCATGTGTATATGACCTTAAATGATCACCATTAAATTTGACACAAATCTCTAAAAAAGTCAAAGTATTTTGTCACATATCTCTAAAAAAGTAAAGTAATAGTCATTAAGTCTTATAAAGACTTGACTTTTTTAGAGATCTATGCTAAATTTAATGGTGATCATTTGAGGTCTATATATATAGGTGGGAGAGGTTACTTATGGTCTAAATGTTTTCTTAATATAATTATTATTTTTTATTTTGGATTATGAGTAATAATCCTATAAGACCTTCTCCCATTTTTGTGTAGGATCTTAAAAGATTACCGTTAAATTTGACAAAAATACTTAAAAAAACATATGATTAGGAAAAAATCCTATTAAATCATTCTTCTTGAACCATTAGGTATAATTGTATTTAGATGGACGACCTATTCACATCCATCTTTAAAATAGATACTTTACACCTTTAGACCGCATATCGTAGAAATGCGGTCCGGCCCGCATGAAACAATTGTTCTTAAATAAAACATTCAATTTGGGGGAGGAGCTCGCAAGCTCTCTCAGTGCCTTAACAATGGAGGGAGAGCTACGTGCCGAGATCGAAGCCGTCCAGTCAGTGTACGGCCCTGATTGTCTGATGGTCCAGGAGTTACCCACCTGCATCACCGTTCACATAAGGCCTCGAACGGCTGACGATCTCTCTCAACAGGTGGGATTCATCTCAAGTTCAATTTTTTTGTTGCTGTTTTTTCCAAAGCATGAACTTACAATTCAAGAGTAATTTTACTTGTTTTCTTCTTCTCAGATTCTGATGATATATTCGATGAGAATGGAATTTTTTCGTGATTGTTTTCTTTCGTGATTTTTCAATGATTATTGATGGTCCATATTTCTATAGGTCCAGGGTTTTCAAAATTTTGCTTAATTTTTTTTTTTGCGTGTAAGTTATTTTTGCGGACTGCTTTTCTTGTTCCTCTATTTTCTTCCTTTTTTGGACAACTCGCAGTATTTTAATAAAAAATGTGTTTTTTTAAATGTCTTGATTTTTAATCTGTCTGTCTGTCTGTTTCTCTTGATGTTCCCACTTATGATATAGACTGAAATTATGGTTTTTGAATAATTAATGGAGTTGGGAATCCTCAACAAAAGCACAAAAAGAATAATTAGAATTATCAAATTTTTTTCTCTACAATATAACATTTTGATTCTTATTTTCCCCAATTTTTTAAGCTTAAAAATCTTTGATTGAAGTATTAAAACTTTCATGGTTATCATTCACAAAGACAATTTCCTGGAAATCTTATTATAATTAGTATTACTAATGATATGTCAAATCAAGAACTGTTATTTTTATTGTTAGTATATTGTTATTAATAAATTATTATTATTATTATTATTATTATTGTTCTTCTTCTTCTTCTTCTTCTTGTTATTGTTGCTGTTGGTGTTGTTGTTATTATTATTATTGTTATTTATTAATGGAATACTCTTACCCATATTATTGGATCAGCCCCCATTGATTTTCTGAAAGCCCAAATTTGTTATTTTCAAATCACAAATTTTCTTTGTCATAAAAAAGTTTTGGTGATCGACTCATTCCTAATAGAGAACTACGCTAAGGTTGTGTCTTGTGTATTAATGCAATTAGTAAATACTTTTCTTAGTGTTTAATGAAATCTAGTTACTGACAATGTTTGAACGCAAGGGCTAATGTTGGGACTAGCTAGGGTCCTGAGCCTGATTCAGGCAACTAAACTCAGCTGAGTCTGATGGAGATGGCCAAGTGCCAGAAAAATTAGTGCTAGAATCATGCAACTGGCGAGTCTTGGCTGGTTCATGGTTTTGGGTCTAGACTCAGCAGCTTGCTGAGTCTTTGTTTGAGTTTTGAACACTGGTTATTGAAGAAGAAAACTGAATAAATTATGGACTCTTGAACTCATCAAGAACCTGTACCGTTCATGAAAAGTGAGACACTAATTAGGATATAAACTTACAATTGTAGAATAGTCTATTGCTAGAAAAAATGTAGACTAGTTTGATATTTGCTAAAATGGTGCATAATGCTAGAGAATTGCAGGTTCCTTTGCTGACCACTACAATATCAGTGCTTTCATTGAAGACGAATACTTTAAAATTTAAACTATCTAGTTTTAAAGTAGATTACTAGTTTCCTTGTGGTACTCGAAGTGTGGAAAGCCGACATGGGCTCCATGGTTGGGTAATAGAAGGTAGGGATGATTGATATAGGAAATAGTGGAGAGTTTCATATTAAGGTATGAATGAAAAGATTACCAAAAATATTGAAATGATATTCTCATGGAGCATAAGAATGAAATAGGATTCCAGTTTGGGGATATGAGGGTAGTGAGATTGTGGACTTAGAGTTTTTTATTTGATTGGCAATTATGGACGGACTGTTCCATGCCTTCCACCTTAACATCATTTAGTGAAATCATGGGAATGGGAGTGGCCTGATGCCCAATATTTTGATGAATTTGGAGGAGATAGAAGTATATGAATGGTGTTTGTTGAGGGAGTTTGCTTGGGGAGTTCCTCCCATGCATAAGGCACGATTATATATTGTTGAAATACATCACTACAATACAGTTCTTGCTCATATTGTTCACCATGGTCATTCAAACTGAAAACATCTGATATCTCTAGACCACCTAATCCGGGGGATGTTGTCCTTTTGTGCTCCAGGGTCTTGCGATGTTGGTAACCTTGTATAAGGTCAATAAAAAATACCACCTCCAAAACCATTAATGCCAAACTCTAAACATGTGCTTCATATCTAGTGAGGCCAAGAAGATTTAACCACCTTCTTCTGTGGTGTCCTTTCATCTGTAGGTCATAGAATGCCAAAACATAAGACTTATTTTTGATGGTATGTGTGTTACCTAACTGTTGACCTTTTGTTGCATTCTAAATGAGAGGTTGATCAAGATGGTCTATTTCTCACCTGTTGATCTTTTTGGGCATTTGATACTATGCATTTTTCAGTGGCACACACGAGTATGGAGTTGTTGAGAGAACACATTAGAGACTCTATGAAAACTTGGGCCATTTTCAAGGAAGTATTTGTGGTATATAAAAATTGACACCTAATTCCAAAGTTGGGCCATTTTCAAGGAAGTATTTGTGGTATATAAAAATTGACACCTAATTCCAAAGTGGAGGTGATGGATGTCTGTAAGTTTTATATATATATATATATATATATATATATATATCTTGGTGTCACGAGTTGCCGTGATGGGCTATGTGAAACTTAACTCTGACGGTGGCTCATCTAAGAATCCAGGTCCAATAGGTGTCAGGCGAATTCACAGGGCTTGTTAAGCTATTTCTCATGGCCTTTTCTGGCTCAACGGGGCCTGCTATCCTAGAAAGGAAGAATAAAGAGTCCCCTCTAATTCAGCCTGAATATTCTCTGTTCCTTCTTTGGATCCCTTGTTGCAGAGAGGAACTAGCTAATGTTGTTAGAAGGACATTGTGAGAATAACAGGCATTACGGATGGAGAATAACTAGCACTATCAAGACTCGCATTTAAAGAGGAAAAATATGTTACTTTATCCCATGTGATTTTGGAAGGTGCTGCGGAGGCAGGTTCCATGGCTTGTTGGGGCATAGAGACAATAATAGTTCATATGCATTGGGGTCAAATTTCTCTCTCTTGAATTTTTATTTGTGACATCTTCGATGCAGCTTGAGGTGTTTTTGTGTTGATTAAATTTCTTGTCAACTATAGTTGCCTACGTTTTCGATATGCGGTCGATATTGATTGTCACAAAGCAGTTAGTGATATATAAGTTAACCAAGTCACATTCCCTTCAAACAGACTTCTGAAAAGTGGCCTGTTTGAAATTTTTCATGTGCAAGTTGCAAAAGTAATCGTCCTGGTCTATGAGAGATTCTAAAAATGTGCAATTTTATAGTCTATTGGTTTGTGGCAGATTGAGCGCTTTTTTGCCGGGTAGAGTTTCTCTGCCATGGATTTTCCTTTTTATGCCATCTTTGCACCAAGCTTTCCCATCCTCATAACCATTTTTTTACATATTTTTCAATATATTCAAACCTTCAAAATTTGTATTGTTCTAATAATCAAATCATCAAACAGCAATAATGTCCAATAAGGCAAAAAAAAGAAACACATAATTGTCATATACTGTCAGGCAACATAAAAGACTATATGGACTTCAAACCTAGGTCTGGATGCTCCTAACAAGCTGACCATGTTTGAATACATTGGAGGACCAAAAGCCATGTAAAAACCTCAAAGCATTTTATAGATAAGAATCCTATATAGAAAACATACTAAAACTCATCAAGTATCAATTCTTAAATAAAAGGAACAATTTGTCGCTAACTTATTTATTGATTGTTTGAGTTAACTATTAAACATTTGCTAAACTTCCCTTAAAATCCGTAAATAACTAAGAACCAAAGTACCCCTAACCCAATCTACATCAGTTTCCCCCCGTTTGAAGAGAACACGTCCTCGAGTTTGAGAGACCTTCACCACACTTGCATTCTGCTTCATCTGCATCTTAGACTTTAGTTTTGGTAGTTGGTGATCCCACCTTCCGTCTGTCTCTCTTAGATCTCTACACGTGAATAACCTCCTTCAGAAACAAGAGTCACAATTGATTGAAAGGGATTTTCCTTCATAAAAGGATCTTTTGTACTGATATGGTAGAATTTCAATCCCTTTGTAACATAAATTCATCTGTGCATCAAAAATGAACTTACCCTCAACTAAGTCCTTGTTTGCATCTTCTTGATCGAGGATGAGTGTCCAAATTGACAACAGTTCTCATCATGGATGTCAAGGATAAGAATGACCATCCCTCCTCCCCCCCAAGGTCTTGAGCATGCTGTAGGACTTGGATCATCCCGTCTTTGAGTCTTCTTCTGGCTCTGCTCACAGAGCTTGGTGATGAAAGGGGTTCACATTAGTTCGCCGAGACCCCTCTGAATCGTATCAATATTCATGATCGAATTCTGGTTGGTGCAGCATATGTTGCGTCAATTGGCACCAATTTCTTGGATCTCTTCCTCCTTCTAGGGGATTCCTCCATGGGCCCATTCATTGCTTCCTCTCCTTCCTGCAATTGCAATATTTCTTGGTGATCAGAACCTTGATATGAAAACTAGGAAGAGAGAAGAGAGGAACATAGAAGCAACCGAATGGGTTCTGTCTTATATTAAATCAAATTTGTCATTGTATTTTTAGGCATAGACTCCAAACCTAACTCTAAATGCTTTTAAAGACCTCATTGAGTTCCCGTATATTGTAGGACCCCAAGCCGCATAAAAACCTTAAAGCATTGACTAAAGATAGAAATCCTATCTCTAAAAAACATTTGAAATTATCAAGTAATAATTCTTAAAAAAAGATAGTATTATCCTATACTTAATTTACCCTAATTTATTAATTATTTTAATCAACTGTTGGACATTTCCTAAACTGCCCGTAACCATGGAACTACAGACCTGACCACCCCTGAGTAGATCTACATCATTAGTTTACTTTGTATTTCCCATCTTTGGGAAATTCTTATTCTTTTTATCTATATGTTGATCATCTTCGATGTTGTGGTTGTCTTTGCAGTTTGTAGAGGCTATACTTTGCATTCGGGTTAGTGGTCAGGTACAGAGAAGCAAATATATGTGGAAGCAGTTGCTGATCTATCTATATTATCATCATTTGTATCTTATATTACTTCCAACCCCCTCAATCCTTTCTCATGGCCATTCAATGTTGTAACAATAATTAATATGTTTATGGCAGTATCCATACGAACCACCTACCATTGATGTAATAGATTCAAAAGGTCTTGATGAGAATAGGCGCGCACATTTAATTGCAACTGTACAAGAACAGGCAAATGAGCTCGCATCATATCCAATGCTTGTAATGGTTTGTGAGGTCTGCTTTTCTCCCTATCATCCAAAACTTTCTGAGCTTCTGCTCATTTGGGACCGTATCATATATAAGAAGTTAATAATATCATACTCGTTCGTTTCCTCTTTGCAATCCCCTGATGTGGTGCTTATAAACCTATGAATTTGCATGTCGAATATTATGTTGGAAGCATAATATCCTGATCTTGTGTAGATGGATTCACTTTTAAGGATAAGTATAATATAATCCAAGTACTTAGGTCATCATCATTTGCCCATTGAAAATGATGGACAGCAGATGGAGAGAGCATGACTGACCAGAGCTGTTGAGGTCCTATTCTGGTGGGTCCCATTCTCACTCCATCGCCATCCATATCCATGTATTTACTATGGTTTTTCCATAGTCCATTGCTTTATAGTGTATATTCCCTATGTTAAATGTGCAACCTTCACCATTCAAACTTACTTCCATGGAATCTCATAGTAACTGATGTGAAAATACTTTCAGGAAGCAGTGGAGACTTTGTCTAACATGAACCACCCAGATGGAAACTGTCCATTGTGTTTGTATCCTTTGGTTACTGAAGTTAGAGAAGAACATTGTGTTCCCTTCATGAAGCTGATGTCTTGTTATCACTGCTTTCACAGGTGCTATTCTTATATATGATTTCTAATTTGTTCATTTATTTATTTTATTGGTATTGGGGATCCGCTTATTACTTGATAAGTGTAGAATTTTAATCTTAATCCCAAAATTTATTTCAATCTTGCAGGCAATGCATTATTAGGTGGTGGAAGTGGCTGCAAGAGGAAGACAGAACCAGAATCTTGTCAAGTGACTTCTCACAGACATCTTCTTCTCTTTCTATAGATTTGGAGGGAGAGGGAAATGCTTCAGGAGAACGGTACTTGTAATTGCATGTTCAGCTGAATAATTAATTCATATACTCATTAACTTGCACTAGTGTCTCGTATTTGGGGGCTTAGCTTTATAAATGAACTATTTAGCAAAATGCCCGTGGGAAATGAACTATTTGGCATTTTATCAATATCATTTGATTTTAATTTGAAAGTACCAATTAAAAGACACATGACCATAAGTTGGAATAGTTGCAAATGTGTAAAATGTTGAATAATGCATCTCTCATGGGTACTTCGATAACAAATGTGTTAAATGTTGAATAATGCATCTCTCATGGGTACTTCGATAAATTTCCCGTTTTCTTTCGTGTTCAATTATGTTAATGATGTTTTTATTCAAAATAACTTGGTACTTTTACATATTGCACTATTGAAATTAACTTCATGCCAAATGAACATACCGTTGTTTCCTGAGACTGCCTCTTTATTCTCTTAACTATCGAGCAACAAAATTTGTGGTCGTTTACTTGGATCTTCTTCTGATGTTTCATCATATCCTCTATTTTGGACTTTGGATAATCTACAATTGTATCAGACATTTAGCATCTGAATCTAAAATATCTGTGTGTTTTATTAGAGGCCACATTTCTCCCTTTCTTGTGTCATGCTAAAGAGTTAAAATTGGATTGGAACACCTTGGTTCATATCTGACCGATCAAACTTTGGGTGGCAGCTCAGAACCACTTGCAGCTGAAACTCACAATGTGGGGAATTGTCCTGTATGTCGCAAGGTGATTCATGCGAAAGATATCGAGCACGTCCTTGACTTGCTTAGACCTGGATCGTCTCAATTGGTACATATTTCCAATCTGTATGTGTGGTGAGTGTATGTGTGTGTGTGTGAGAGAGAGAGAGAAAGGCTAGTCTAAGGTGTTTCAGAATGTAATTCAAGGGTCTCATGAATTGTCTCAAACCAGCCACCGGATGAAACCAATGTCGTCGAAGAGGAGGTCCTCTTATCTGACATAGAAACCATCAAGAGAGAGAAATTTGAGGCGACGGTGAGAGTCCAGCGGGAGAATGGGGGCCTCATCGAACCCAAAAAGATTGATGTTTTGCAGCCTGGTATTTTTCTGCCTGAAACGACCAACTTAAACAGCTCAAGAACGGGATTGAGCGATCAAAAAGTGGAAGCAAGCAACTTTCTTACTAGGTCAGGTGACGATTCTAACACACCTGGCTCTAGTATGGCTGGTGGATCAGTGGAAAATGTGAATTCCAGTCAGAGAAGGAAGGGTAGAGATCAAAAAGCCCGGGTATCAGGTGACAAGCCTGATGGGCCTGGCGCAAATGTGGATGGTGGGTTCATGGAAAATGTGAATTCTAGCGAGAGAAGGAAGAATAGAGCTCAAATAGTCGCGCTTACAAGGGACGAGCTTAATGGGGATTCATGAATACTGCAAAGTCCGGCGAGAGAAAGAACAGAGCTCATAGAGCCCAAAAGTCGAGCCCGAAGATGAATGGAAGACAGTGGATAAGAAACGAATTGAATTCCGTTGATTGAAAGTATTCACGATCCTTGTGGATCGACATTTTTGCATAAGCTTCAACTATTGGTATAAGCTTTTGATGTCATCAGATGTGTTTTGATGGACTGTCGGGATTGTGGACAGAGATTGCTTCTGTGAATCTCAACCACTGAATATTAGAATTAATATGGCTGGTCATATATAAACAGGTTGTTCATACTTACTGTTTTGCAAAAAACTATCAAATCTGCATAGAAATGAGGTGATACTAGCGAAGGGTATGTGCTCTGCACGTGTTTTGAGTTATCGATTTGGATTCTCTTATTTCTAGTGCACGCAAGAAATTGTCATGGGAAAGTTATTTGGCAGTTTTTATTGTGAACTCAATTATACTTGAGTATTTTTGATATAAAATGTCTTTATATTTTATAATGACATTATGAAGTGAAATCACTTAATTTGTATAAATAAGGAAGTCAAATTTTCTTTATTATTATTATTTTTTCAAATAGTGTGCACGATGGATGGTTCTTCAGAGGC